TTTATTTCCCCAGACATATTCGACTGTGGGGACGATTATTAGAATTTAAGGGAATTTCGAAATTTGTCTGAATAACTGGGAGGCATCGAAATTCCCAGCTTGGAGGCCGCTCATTTAACGGCGCGACGTGATTGTACACGAGATAGACACAATCCCTTTGGAGTTGCCGCAACCCCCAAGAACGTAGTTCGCAGACAAATCTTCCCGCGCGACGTGTGTCTCTCCGTAACGAGACTTGTGCGCGGAATTAATACCGCACGCGTTTCAGCCGTCGACGCTTATTCAAGGGGATTCTCGTTGCACGCTCTAAGCAAGGAACGTATTAGCAGCGAGACGTATCGTCGGCGATAAATTTACAATAGTCAATGAAATTGCCGAGCTCCGTTTGACGGGAAAACGAGCAAGTAGAAGACGTTAGTATTCTGGGTACACTGGATACACCAGAGACCTTTGAAAAATCATTTCTCGCCGTTTCATATCGTTTCGTCAACTTTTTAAAATTTAACATTACCAATCCGTGAAACCGGAACTCCGGGTAAATTGAATTTCGAATGAAGAAACTCGATACGGAGATACGAAGTGGTTGGCTCGAAATGAAATGGACGGTAAAATGGCAAGGAAAATACGTATTTTTAGAATTTTACATTTAGTCGCTCGTTGCAAAAATATATTTTACTTCGGTGGATATAATTGGTGTCCGTCCTGGTAGCAGGCAGGAAACAATAGACCGTTTTCCGATGGAGTTTTCCACGGTTCAATTAAAGGCCGTCGTTCGAAGTTGCCGATAAAGTCGAGCTACACGAATTCGAGCGTGGCAGTAACGAGAATACGGCACAGATGTGGCCAATTTCCGTTTGAACGAGCGCGGAGGATCCTCGTCCTTTGGCAGGACACGATCTCTCGAACGATGAAGGAACGCGACGTACGAGTACGCAGATTTTATTACGGTCTACCTTCGATTCCATTTCCATCCGTTCGAAAGCTCAACATATGAAGCTGACACCGAACGTGTTAATTAATCTCGGATGATCGGGATAATTTGCTGCACCGTTTTTCCTGGTCGCGTTAAGATTCCCCCCCGAATTCCATTACGTGTCATGTTACCGCGACCGCTATTGGGTAATTGTAGCGGTGTAAATAGCAAGCGAAGGCAATCAATGAGCAATTGAACGAATGCTACCGGCGGCGCATCGACACACGACGTCACCACCGCAGCTATCTGTCGACCTACCAATTCCATCACGCTCAGCCAACGACTGGTTGTCCTATACATAGCGGGTATTTCATTCGGTGGTCAGCTCGGCCAGACGCCCATTCTGTCACGCTCCGCAGCCTCTCTGTCTCTCCGTTCGTCCCGAAAAGCCTTGTACAATTGTACACACCCTGGTTACTCTGTGATCGTCCTGGTATAACGACACGGCCGCGCGTGCCTGTGTTATCAATGCGACATTACCACGTTTACCCGCCGCATACACCTGTCTTCCGTTCCGCGACACCGGAACTCCGGTTACATTGCCACCTTCCACGCTTTTTCTCATCGTCGCAACAATGTTCGTATTCGGCTACCTTCAGAAAGTATCAAGTGTAATTTCCTGGTAACGGATGAGCAAACGTAACGGAGGTTGCTATTTGTCAGACAGGTGATCGATGGTGCGATTCAAGTGGTATTTTGTGGTTTACGCTGAAAGTTTTGAGAATCCGTCACTGAAATGGAAGAAGAATTACGTGCAATAATGTTGATGCATCTGTTGAAGGATTTCGTGCTCATATCGTGGAAATTCCACGTTATTTTACTCTAGACATTTTGATTTTGAAAGCTTACCGTAAGTTTCTTTTGATTACGGTTTTTAAAATAATTGGAGTAACATTCGTATGGATTCTTTTTTAAGCTTTCGACAATTCAACATTTTATTATCCATTATAATCATTAACGCTTATACCGACACTCGATGCATGTTTCAATTCGGTATTACCTGCTTCATCGTTCGTATTACGTTCGTATTAATTACGTATGAAATCGATGATAATGCTTCGAGCTGTTGAATGGAAATCCTGCATCCGATAGCTGCATCTCGTGTATTAATAACTTTGCACCCTGCTATGCAAGTACCTATCGTTATATGAATCAGGAATCACTTTTATTTTGTTGTATCATCAATTTACAAGCTTTTATCTGTCATATTTCATCCGTTTCTGTCGCTCTATTTCTTGATCGTTTTTTTTCGCACATCACCCTTCCAGCTTTTTCCTGCCTCTTCATCCCCAGCGAAAGTCTTTACCTTCTCTCTCGACCCTCCTCCACTCTGTTTCATTTATTTCCTCTTTTCACCTCTGTCCCTTCCAACCTTTTTTCCCCTTATTTCCTCGTTTTTACCATCTGACCTCCTTCCTCTCTGTATCTTCTTCGTATTTCTCTCTTCCTGTCTCTCTTTGTTCCAGCGGATTTAAGTATTCTTATCGCATAGTCTAACGCCACTCCTCTGCTCCTACCCTCGTGGATAGGGTGCCCAACCCTGTCCGACCATAAAGTCACTTCGACGGGGTACGGACCATGCTTATTTAAATACTCGGACGAAACGATGGGATCGTAATCGCGAGCGAAAAGAAACGTTTCTTGGTAGAATGAAATTCTCTTTTTACGACTCACGATACAGCACTTCCTTAACGCGGAGATTACCATGGCGGTCGTCAGTGATACACACCACGAATGCAATATTTAGTAGAAACGAATGAAACGTAAATTTTCGTTATTTAATCAATTGTATCAAAGAGTTTGATATTGGACAGAATATAATATCGCGTTATCCGATATTATCAGCAGCATCGTATTTATCCAAACATTTTCATCGAGCACGCATCGACGACTTTACGAAGGTGTGTCGCCCGTGTGCGTGTTCAGTCGATTTCCTTTTCCGCTGCTCCTCCTTCCCGTACTCCCGCGAAATCGTGCACCGAATGGAAAGCTACATCCACGGAACACGTGGCAATGGAGAAGTCGAATTATCGCACACTCCGGCAGCGAATGGCTTTCCAATCTGAAAGCTTGCTAGCGTTCGCGCGGATTTGCCGCGTAATTTTAAGCGGCAAATGAATTCGAAAAGGCTGCGCCCAGGGAATACCGTTCGCTCGAAACGACGTGAATTCTTTCTGATATTCTCAAAAAAACTGCTCCAGATATTTCTCTACGCGTTCCCTGTTCCGTCCCTACCCCATTTTTCGTCGGGGCATATTCTCTTTCGTCGAAGCCGTTCCGCATGGATGTGAAATTAAATTTTCCGACCCTTCGTCGATATTAGCGTTCGAGAAAAATCGATTTCAGCCTTGGCTAGCCTGCGTGCGAGCAACGTTTGAATAACCGTCGATGATCGCAAAATTCGCTTCTTTTCAAACGGCTTTAATCGCGTAATAAGTAAACGCGAATTCGCGGGACGAAACGATTTCGGGATATTAAATGCAACGGACGGTGCGGGCGAGAAATGTACACGTAAGATAGATAAAGTCATAAATCGAGGGTGAACGGATTCCAGGTCAACCGCAGCCCCATATGATAACGGTAATATCGTGGCATCGGATCGATTATACCCCATAACGAACGACTAGCACCGCCTGTCGTGTCGATGATTTACGAAAACCCTCGATTTTATGGCGAAATCGTACGATTGTTACCGTTTGTTTAAACGCTCATTGTTCCATTCGATTCCTCGAACGTATAACTTCGCTGGGTCTTGTTTATATTTTATCAATTCCCTCGATGATATTTTATCAAGCCAGCAAGAAACTACGAAAGGAATACGAGAGATACTCTAATCTTTGATCTGTACACTCCTGATTCATCGCTCGATACAAGAACTCCAGGATTAATCCTGGACATCGTGGCGTGCACGTTTCAGCATACTGATAAATTGTCGCGAAAGTAAGTTATCAACGAGCGACAGGAAGAAAGAGGAAGCTGCAACGGCAGCAAAGGCGACTGCTGTTGCAAAAGAAGGAGCCAAGGGCCAAGTTGGACGAAGGAGCTTAGCTCGGGAACCTCTCCTCGCTTCCGGTAATACCATCGTCGACAGTCAGAATTACTTGCCTTTCGCGTTAGTTTTGCCTTATCGTCCATTAAATTCAAAATCTAAAGACTTCAGACGAGCTACGGATCTATTCGTATCAAAAGTCGTACCACCATTAAATTTAAGAATATTAAATGATACTTCGAATAATCCTTTATAAACCAGAAATATTGGCCATATTTGTCACAAGAATATATAGAATTATTAAAATTTCATTAACTTTACAGAATTTCGAATTAAGTTTATTCATACTTGGGTGTTGCATTTGGAAACAGCGTTATTACCTAAATATGTACCTCGTAACGAAGAATTAATGTTTCATTTTATTATATTTTCAATGTTTCAATGTTTGAATTATTAATTAGTAATTAATTCGTACATTTCATTTACATGAACACCTATGTTAAATTTATTAACGATTAATCTGAATGACGCGAATTTTGCTTGGCAAAATTTCCAACTAACCCGTGCCACAGCGTTTCTCATTAAACTATATTGCCATTAATATGCCTCGTTGAATTGGATAGCAGCACGAAGTTAATCAAAATCGTTTTTATCGCTTATCCAACGGCGGCCTCGTCCACAAGTTAAACGGAAACGGTAGAAAATTTATTAGGACGTTTCTAGGTTAATGAGCGCTTGTGTCCGCGATCGGGGGACGCTATTTTCACGGTACATTATAACAGTTTCCAAAATAGGCTACCCGCGGTGCAAAAGTTAACGCTAAACGCATCTATTATTTCACTGATCGATCCTGAATCGCAACAATCAATTATTCCGAACACCAGGTACGCGTTATGATTTCAGAGAATTAGTACCTTTCGAATCCCCTATAAATTAAGTTGAAACGCAACGAAAAGTCTTCAATAAAATTCAAGAAAAATTCCTTTTCCATTATTGAACTTTATACATTCCCCAACGAAGAATCTCTGTGATTTTCAGAACAGCTAAGATGGTAGAAAATCAAACGCATTCATCGCTCAACAAACCGTTCGTCGAGTTCAAAGGGAATCATGTACAAAGATACGTATGTGCCATACAAGAGGATCATCATCGTTCGATGCAGTATCGATATCGATATTCGCAAAGCGGGCTCGCTTTGACGGCGAACAGTCGACGATCAATAGATAAGTTACGGTCAAACGGAAATCCAGTCGAGTATATGTACAAGGTAGGTAGCGTTGGACAAAGATTCCGCAGAATCGCATTGAAATTCAGTGTCCAAACCGAGGAGGAAAAGGGTGAAGGTCGCGACGTAGCAATGAGCGGGTCCTTTTTCTCTGTCGCAAATGCAGCTGGTGGTAGCTGGCCGTTTGAATGTCGGCGAGAAAGAGCGGAAAAGAAGAAGAGGATAGGTCGACGACGGGTGCAAAGGATGCAGGGTGAGAAGGGGGTAAAGGATATCGGCTCGTCTCTACCGTTGAGAACTTCTTGATGCAGTTCTGCCCGGATATATTCGGGCAAAGTCGAAAAGATAGCCAGCCTTCCTATTTCATCGCGGCCCGTGAAGCGTGCCATGCAAACTTCGATCCCTTGGCAAAAGCCCTCCAAGTGTTATCGATAGTACGTCGGATCGTGGCAGGACCTCTCGTAAATACTTAGCCAGCCAGCTGCTTGGATATTCGAGACACGATGCCGGCTAACATCGATATCCTCGGTTCATTCATCTGAAACTATGAGACAATTTCTCAGTTCTCGAGGATAGTCGATTGGGTCTCCATTTGGCAAGATGGATCTTTCTGATTTCTTCTTTCAAAGATAGCATTTATCGTTCGAAATTGAACCATTTTAGATTCCATATTGTTAAATTTATATCTCGTAAATCAGAATTTAAATGCATTTTATTATTATACACTTTCGTATTGACGAAGCTATTTTTCAGCTTATCAAAATGAAAGAAGGCAAGAATGATCACAGAAGATCACAGAGGAAAGGAAAGATCGGAACGCTTCTAATCAGCAATCCGTGTTCACCGTGATTGTCAGATTGAGTCGAACGGATTTAAACGACGGCTCGTTTATTCCGAGCGTTTCAATTTTGCCCCATTTGCGCAAAAGATTGCACTTTGAAAGAATCGGATCGACGCGAGCGTGGAGGGCGTTCGTGTTACTTGAGAAACGACTTCCATCCTCTCCCTCGAGGAACAAATCGCTCGTGTATTAGTGGAAAATGATCTAACTGCTCGGCTTCTCTAGATTACTTCGGCTGAAAAATGATCGCGCTTAATCGTGATCACTCGACGAAATTGGAGCCGAGGATCGTTGCATCGTAAAATGAATTCGAACGATGGAAAACGTTCGAAGCTGCATCGAATAATTGATTTCTTTTTAGCATCTGATGGTTCAATTGCCCAATTAATTATTTAATCAAATTAAATACCTGGTCTGATGAAATAAATATTCGCGAAACTGTTCATTTTTAAAACGTTCTCTACGTCATTTCATTCAGCATAAAGTAGTCAACCTCTGAACATGTCCGCTTCGCTCTAACACAGCGTCACAATGGAAATCCTTTGTTCGTAGCGGCAAACGAGGCAGGTAGTCAGCTTCATAAAAAAAAAAAAAGAAAAAAGAAAAGCCGAGCCTTCTACAGCCATTTTCTCGCAATTACATTCAGACCAGTTAGCAGCCACTCGGCCAGGCATTGTCCGCCAAGGGGACAGACTAGGAAGTGCAAGTTAACGTTAACGGACTCCGTTGTAGGAGCGTCGACTTCGTTACAGCTTGTCGGCCGCTCCGCCTCGCTTTTGTCCCCGTAATAGAGTATTAAGCAGTTGGGATCTGATAAAGGCCATTTCTACAAACACACTGTTCCACGTCGCGAGAGGTCCGACTTCACGCTGGCTACGGAATCCAACGACCAGTCACGAACGATTTAACTCAAGAATAACAGCCCCGACAAAGGGATCGACTTCATTTAAATGTGATCTTCTCCCCGAGTGACGGTATCGACCCACCACGTACGAAACGCTTAACATTTCGTTTGCATACCTTTCGAGGGCGAAAGTTTCCGACAGAAACAACAAACCGAGGAACTTCTTTCACGGTAGGAGTGGCCTCTTTACGTTTTTTCGCTCTTTTCGTATTTCACAACGGCGATGGAAGTTTCCTTCGGATTCTGCTGTTACTTTAATTAAGAGGGAGCTAACTTTCGAGAAGGAAATAACTTGTACATTGAAAAATGACTCGGTTAACAGGCTGAATACCCTCGAAAATCTAACGTCATCAATGTAACGAGCTCTTCCCAACCATCTCCGTGGAAGATCAGGGCATAGTCGAGCGAATTCACGAGCGGTCCCGAGGTGGGTAGAGAAATTTTCAAGAGAAACGAAACCGATTTAAACAAGATCTTATCCATACTGCGATCGATCACGTGCTCGCAGCCGGATACTTGGAAAATGTTCGCTATTTCTTTAGCATCCGGTCCCGAGGAGTCGGGGCTGGCTCGGTGAACCATCCAACTTTTTACCGCGAATGAAACTCGAACTTTTCTCCTGTCCGATACAAGTTGCCCGACGTTTAACTGCTTTTATAGTTTATAAATATGTTGTCGGACGCCAAGCTGGCGTGCAATTAAATTCTCCGCAGTTCTTGCTGGTACGTTCGAGAAATTTTCCCGGTTTCACCCTGTCTACCGTCGACGTTTTAAAAAAGAAGAGAATCTAATAAGAGTCGATAGTGTTTTTAGTAAAAATTTCGGAGATGGAGGAAAAATAAATACGCGAATAACAGGAGCGAAATGGAGAAAAATTTTTTAAATAACTTTTTCCTTTGCACGGTCCCGTTCTATTTTAAAATATAACAAGCAGCAGAAGAATGAAAGAATTGATCATCTTTCAATTTGACGTCTAGTAAAGAAGGACGTTTACGAGCTCCGTAGGGAGGAGCCGAAGTCATCGAAGTGATCGTTTCGAAAAACGAGCAATATAGAGAGGCTTCGACGGTGAGAGAAGCGGATTAATGAAAAGAAAATCGATGGTACGGGGTTATCGATGGGTTGAGAAGCGTGCGAAAGAGAGTGCAAAAACGATGGTGAAGAGGATGAAGAAGAGGAGGAGGAGTACTCGTAAGCCTGCAAAGATTGGAAGCGAGGTGTAACGTGGAGCAAGCTGCGAGATGTTGGATCGCAAGCAGCCGGATCAGGTTGGAAAAGTGTTTAGGGTGGTGGGTTATGCTCGACTTCGTCGGCAAATGAGATCGAGTGAAAACTGTTCGCGAACCGATTCTCCGGCTGGAATGTATCACTTCGGTGTAGACGCGGGTGATTAATGGGCTCCTCATGGAAAAGAATCTCGTTTACGTCGAAGAAAAGCACGACGTTACCGACATGCCACGATTACAATTGATTCAACCTACTCTGAAATGTGTTTCACCCCCGACGAATCGAAACTTTCTCGAGAAACTCTCGTCCTGACAGTTGTTCTATCGCTTGCTAACTACCATCGGCAATTTAAAAAAATTCGCAATTCATTGAATGGTACCACGGCAATCTCGTTTAGGCTGTATCTTGTTCGACGGTTATGAAATTCCAAGAACCTTCTCGTCGCTCCGATATTAATCTTTTAATCTTTGAACAGTGACGATGAAACCGTGGCGAAGTACGCAACTCAATTATAATCAACGGCACGGTACGCCGAAAACTTTTCATCTCGTGATTGATCAATGAAAAGTTTCACGGGCATGAAAAAAAAAAACGTCTGATAAAGAGACGGACGAAGGAGATACTTGGTAGCTAAGATGGACGGGGTTTCAGAGGGGAAATAAGTCGAAACGAGGCATGCATCCGTACACAAGAAGCCCAGTGAAACAGCGAGGGGATCAAAGTATTGGTGGACATGATAGAGGAGCATGTCCCGAAGCGGCTGAGATCCGAGGCCAGCTCGTTGCTCACTCGAGAGACGAAGATGAATGGCATCAGCTTGAATCCCGACAGAATCCATCCACCATCGACTTACCAGCCTGCAAGGCCATCTTCTTCTTCTTTTTCCTCGATTTCTTCGCTCCGTGCGATTACCTTCGTTGGAAAATTTTTACCACCATTCTCGCGAATTTTATCTCACCATCGTTTCGTCCATCGACGAAACAGAATTGAATATCCTCGTGTTAAGTGTCATTTTTTAAGTTTTAAAAAGGTGGGTCAATTTTATTCAGAATCAGTTGCAATTATTTAAAGTGTATCATTTTGTAAGGGGATGATTAAGTTGAAAAAGAGATAAGGAGAAAATTGTGGTGAAAGTTATTGCAAAATACTTGGAGGAGCATAATTACCAAAGTATCGAAAAGAATTTCATTGGCACGCCGGCTGGTGAAATTTACTCGGAGGAAAAACTGAAAAGATGTTCAGTTGATCGGGGGAATGCAAATCTCCGGGGGCTTTTAATTAGCTGCCGCTCCCGTTTAAACGCAGCCTAAGTTGTTCCGTGACAGGGTCTGAGATTCAGGTCGAAATTGAATTTCACCAAAGAATGAGAAGAGTTCTTCGGGAAATCGAATCAAGGCCAGATCTCCTGACACCTCGTTAAATGGAAAATTCCGTCGGATTTCAACGAGGACAAAAAAACGCTCGTTGACGAGACGTTACGTTATCATCGGCCAGTAAAAACCGATGTAATTTATTTTAATATCTAGAAAACCGGTATATTAAACTTATTGTAAATTTCATCGTTACTAAAATCTTTGGAAAACTTTTCTGATGAAGCTTGAAATTTTGCCTGTTCGTGAGTTGACAAGTTTCGTAAAATGGAAAAGGACAGGAAATCGGTTAACGGAGAGGGACGAGATCGTATACGGTCCATGACAACATGATCGAAGCGGAACGAAATGATTCTCGAGGGAGACACTCTGTCAAATCAGCTTCTGCTGTCTTTTATTATGTTGCCCTTTAGTGCTGCACCAAACACCAGACAATATGCTTGATTGCTCTGTTCTCCAGAAAGGGTTGAAAATTGAATTCACAGCAATTTTATTTTTGCCAAGTCATTAAAAATCATTGTGCGAATCAATCGACAATTAAAAAAAAGTAAATTTAAAAAAGGGACCTAAATCATTTAGCAAACAGAAAAAAAGATAAAAATAAGCTATCGAGAAAAGCTACGAATCACTTAGCGGTTAAAAAAGGTGGATATTCGTAGATTTTAGCGCTATATTCGATAGTTGGTATTATCAATGTACGTCCCGTGACGTTCGAGGTAGTTCCCGCGATAAAATCTACGGAATCCTTGCCAGAAATGAGGTCATTCGAGTGGAATCGAACTTCTGTATCTCCCGATTTCCTTACGCGATTTATTCCCACGATTTCTCGCGTAAGGAACGAAACGTGTTTCATCGTGCTGTATTATTTCAACGGCGCCAAATATCGCGAAATGCGAATAGATTGGGGCGCGAAACTGAAATCGTTTCTTCTCATAATTCTATCGCTACAGTTCCTCTTCGATCGTATCGATAAATCTCTGAATCCTTGTTTTATTAGAGTTCGTTCCACGTTGAAATTTAATCGATCGATCTTGACAACTTTCTTAAGCTTTAAACAGAAATTTTATTACCGACTGGAAAACTTATTCGTTCGGAAAATATGAAGAACATAAGAACGTTACTTTTCAACGCAAAAATTCCAGAAAGTTGTTTTCCCAGTGCCTTGCAAGTTTAAAACGTCCATGTTTAAAAACTTGTAAAATGATATTCGGTGTATTCAAGTTGCAGCTTATAGCGAGTTGTATATTTACAAAGTTTGCAAGCCGGAAATGAAAGTTGGTAATTTACGCATAATGAAAGCTGGAAAAATATTTTCTAAGAACACTAGTTTTTCGTGTTAATTACTTGCTAGAAACAGCGGCGAAGTGAAATGATGTATCACGTAGCTGAAGAGTAAGAAGAAACGCTTGAAAATGGTAAAAGAATTGTAAAATAAAAATCTTCTTCCGCCGATAATCTTCTTTAACGAGTGTTCATCAATCTGAACGGGAGGAAAGAAAAGCGTTCGATAGACAAATATAAATAACGTTGCTTTTTCATCGACCATCGACATCATCGACGTATTGGCGGGCACAGCAAAATGAACCACGTTCTTTTGCAACCGGGTTTTATCGAAGTTTATCCTGGAGAAAGCCCTTTAAAGGACAGTCATTAATCAACGCGTTTTTTGCTGTGACGTCAACTCTTCACTTTTCTATGCTTTGCCATTGCAACCGTGGCAAAAGGTTCACCTGAAGCACGATCGCGCTCGTTCGATATTACCCGAACATAAATGGTAGGGTAGATTAATTAAACAAAAAGAACAATAATTGCCACGAAAATTGCATCTACAACACGAAAAATTAGAAAATTACTTTTTCAGTATCTTTAACGCCACGAGGGAAAACTGTAATTTAAGCAAGCAACGTCGTTCTTTATTAAAACCAACTCATGAGCATGAATTTTCCTGCACTAAATGTTGGAAGCATTCGAATGGAAAACTCTGATCAAAGGTGCAAGTTAAAAATGAGGCAAGGCTTTCTTCAATAAGAAATAATACAAAATAAAACCCGTGGATATATTTTTCAACGATGAATTCGCAACCCTAACACAAGGTTGCGAGACGTACCGTCCATCTATACGGGAAACGACACGTGTTACGTCGATACTCGAGGCGCCGAATACATTAGGACGTCTGCTTTCGACGATTACGTGCTTCAAATCTATCGACTTCGAATATTTCGCAATCTGATGTCAACTTATAATAGTTATAAATTCCACGAATCGAGGACTATAGATAAATGTTTCATTCCTTTATAAGTTTGACTCATGAAAATTAACTACCAAGATTTCTCGGTAGACATCTGCTTTACGTATCTAATATTCCTTTAATTTATAAAATTCCTATTATTCGTACAGTTCTGTCGATGCCCCAGAATTCCTGTTTCTGCGTTCCATTCAATTCCAGCTCGTATTTTTCAAACCACGAGGATCGCAGAAAAATCTCTCGAATCCACTAAACTTCTACGGATTACCCGAACTTTCAAACATTCTTAGCCTTCCAGATTTACCAGAGAATGCCACGGACGAATCCGAAACGGAGTCCCGCGATAATTAGATTAATTTCCATCGGTCCGTTGCTTCTAATTCAACGCCCTTCGGTTGGTGTAAACGAAAAAACGATCTCAGCAGTAGGGACAAGACGTCGAGCAGTTTCAGGGAGTTACATTCCATCGTGGATTTTCAAATTACCGGATTATCTGGATGAAAAGTAGCTAGCGCAGCGAGTATCCGGCCCGCTTAGCGTCGGCTTGCGGCGAGCCCGGCTTTAAGCTCGATTATGTCGACGCGACGCCTCGGCTCGTTTTAAATAGAGAAGAAGAATTGTGCACCCGCGGTTCAGTCGGCTGCCTGAAATTTCATCGTCCCATAGATTCCGTGCCCTTTCCTCCAAACGATGTTTTATTTCTTAGGGAAACGCTGTTTCGACATAACCGCGCGCCGAAGTACGTATTTTAGAAACCGTTCCACGTAATATCCGTGTCGCACCGTGAACAATATCCGTGTCATTCAGCCTGTCTAAGTAAACGACGGTATTTTAACGCGATCGCAAAATCGATGCAAACCTAATATAAAAGTTTTGTACAGGTTCGTTCTAGAAACTAGGACGACATTTTGTCATTTATTTGACGAGCACAATTATTCATTTTATCATAATTAAATTTTCATTATTACATTTTTTTATCGAAGGATAATAAGAAAAATAAATTTAATATAAAGCTTAGTCAATTTAATTCGTTCTATTTTAATGATCCATATACTTAAACTTTCGTAACTTGGTATACGAAAAGAAAATCTACAGGAAATAAGTAAAACACGTCCCAGTCTCTAGAATCAGCCTGTACATCCGATTGCAACCGCTATATAACCGTGTCTCGCGTTCGCCTCGCTTATCGTTTGCATAATTCCCAACGATCCGGCAAGTTGTTTGGCAAAAACGTTCAACGAACAATCGTCCACCATCTAACTGTCCTACTGTAACGATCGAATAACTGAAACGTCCTCGTAACAGGCATGAGATAATGCGAGCGAGAAACGATTTCGCGTAAGAACGTTTCGAAACATAAACGCTTTCGCGATGCCAACGATCCCGATATCGTTATGTCACTCGATTGTTCGCCGATCGATCCGGAACGTCGCGTCGTTTTATTCCCGTGATCATGGAAAGCGTGAAACCGCTTCGTTTCACGATTTTTCACCGATCGCTTGATGGTTCATGGCTCGCTTTTCATTCATTCATGATAACGTTTTAAAAGGCAAGCTGTGTTTTTATTATCCATCCTGTCATTCAATTTATTCGTACCAGATTGTAAATCACTGCATGTAGAAGTTTGAGTGTACTTGTAAAATATATGTCACTGATTGTACGAACAATCTACTCACTTTTGTTTTTCATTGAGCTTCGATTTTGAAAAGGTCCTCCGTTTCGTGTTCGGGTCCATTTCGCAAACAGAATGATTCGAAGCTATTTGAATTTGAATGAAATGAAATGGTACATAGTATTGGTAAATAGAATTAAATCAAATATTAGGGGTATATGAAAGTTTTTATCGCGAAAGAATAGATAACAAAATTTTTGCTAAGTATCTCGTTTATTGAAATCAACAATTTTTATAATAATTCATAGAAAATGTTTCGCTAAAAATAGTTCAGGTAGGATCTTACGAAATCCTTTTGATTTCCAATATCCTCCACGGGGTATCCCTTCTTCCTTCTAGAAAATTCGAGGGAGAAGAGGTGGGTGGGAGGAGCTGGATAAAGCAGCCACTGTCGAACTTAACCAACAAACAATCGACATCGATATCGGTGAATCGACGACATGTGGTGTAGACTGATCGTGCTCTTTTTCATTTTCTGCTGTTCGATCGAGGCACTCGGCTTCGACGACGTCGTCAGCGTCGAGTCGCTTCGTCGGGACGTTCGTGAACCATTACCGTTCGCCACGGAAGTCGAGGACCTGCTGGGCCAAGGAAATTCACCGGCGAACGATCGCGCCTCTAAAAAGCATATGAAAAATGTATCTGGTATGTTTCTTTTGTATTTTTGTTAAACAGCCAGTGATCTAATTGCTAATTTAAAAAAGGAATACCGGGAAACATTTGTTAATACAGCTGTTGTTTGAATTCGATCGATCACAATTGACAGGAAAATTTTATAAGGCATCAAAATTTTTAATACTTTGAAATTTCCGGTTGAAATTCAGTCAAGAATAATTAATGAACCTTTCGCACCACTTTATCGATATCACAGTTTATTTATAACTGGGAACGATGAAACACACGAGGAGTTTGAAAGTATAGAATAAAATTGAAAATGTTTGTCCACGGAAAAATTCAACAAACGATGAGTTTCGTTCTTCGAAACATTATCAACACGTCACAATGCGTATACAAATCTTTCCACTCGAAAGTGTTGAACAGAAGGTTTCAATAAATTTATCCGAAACAAAACGTGCAGAATCTGCGTTCGATAACTTTCATTCAACAAAAACAAGAGTTTCTACAAAATGTGTGTCGATTATTTTATTATCGCAATAAACAGATCGGCTCCTATCAAAGACCGGTTGAAATTAATTAATACGATTCTTTTGTGAATTTCTACAGGATGAGCTGTTTTATTAGAGATTTTGTTAGTTACCTAATTAGAATAACAAGCATGGTTTTAGGCAAGTCGGACGAAGGAGGATACTACAAGACGTACGGCAGCGACGCGGAGGGTGAAAAGGGTTACTTGAAAGCAACCTTTAGCAAGGGCAATCACGGATACAAGAACCTCGACACCTTCCACAAGCAGGATGGCGACAAGTACGCATTCGAGAAGCACATTGCCTACGGCAAAGCGCAGGCTGACAAGAAAAGTGGCCACAACGTGGCTGCAGCGTCTCGTTCCAGGAAGGGTGGCGACTACGAGGGTGCAGGTACAATGAAACTGCGCAACTTGAATCACGTAATTACAACAACGGAAACGTAGGAGATCTCGTGTCTCGTTAGAGAACTTGTAAACACGAATTTTTCTTTCTAAATAAGATTTCATTTTTCAAAAATATCCGCTTATATTTGGAGGTCGATGGCATGAATCGATCTATATTCGATGGTATTAAGGGATGGAAGGTAATTGAAAATTTTTCTAGTACCCCTGTCATACGGTTGATTAATGTTCCCCAAGTGGCTTAAGGTAGACACTAATTTTGAGTTAATCCCGAAGTTGTTTCTTGGAGAAAACAGCAGTAAATATCGCTGGGTAAACATCGTTCGTAAAGCAGATCCGCGCCATTAATCCCACAGGATACTTTAATGAACGTCTCTCGCAAGTTCTCTTTCGCAAAGTTCGCACGACTCGGCTATCGATTGCCGATAAAACTATACCATCGGGATAATGATATTAACCGAACACATTGACGTTGTCGCTTGTCGCTAATTTTAACGAGGCGCATGGCCATTTTACTAATTATTTCATCGAAGGACGCTGTTCCGACCGCTTGCAGCATCACCGACGGCTCGTTTCCTACCTTTTATCCTTCGAGCGTCATATTTCGATGTCTAAACGATCGTAAATTGAATCAATTTACGCTGTCCGTTATATTAGGCTTCTCTTCATCGCGCTAACATTTTTTGTGAATTTTCTTTTTTCAGGTACCATCGTGGATTCTCACTATACAGCCGACGAAGGGGACCATGGAGATCACAGCGGCGAACACGTCGAAGGTGATCACAGTGGTTATAGCGAGGGTGCTCACTACACGGATCATGGACCAGAATCCTCGAGTTACGGTCATAGCGAGGGCTATGCAACCAAAGACGGTGACCATGGTTCTTACGAAAGCCACAGCTCCTACTCGAGAGACTACGGGGACGAACAAGAAGACCAGGGAGGCCATTACTATTAATCCTTAGCCGACTGAGTTGCTTTCCACTTGTCTGCCGTTCTACTCGAAACCTTTAGACAATGGAGCTATCTTCCAGTCGTGACTGTATTTCGAGCTTCTTTGAGAGATTTGCAACCTGGGAAGGTACGATGCAGGTTGATTTTCTTGTGTTTCTGTACACTTGATAAAGCTTATCCTAGTTAGTGTGGTTATCGGTTTGAAAGAACGCATTGGTACCATTTCTGAGCATAGGTTGCTCGTAAATTAGAAGGGTAATGGTTGGAAACTAAACGTTCTTTGAACACGTTCATGGATTGAAAGAAGTGAGTTTCTTTAACTTGTAAATTGTTGGGATAATCTATTGAGATTTGTGGTGAAGAAGAAAGGAAAAGTGATATTTTGTGTGATACGATAGCTTATAAATAAAATAAAATATCGATAAAATTTAAGTATAAAATAGAGCGAGCTCTAATATTCATTTTTTACGTTGAAAATGTACTTCGTATACTTTCGAATTCGATTTTCTCCAACATGAAACCTCGTTGTAAATTACGCACAGCATGAGTGCTTCTTGGACATGGAGCACCAGATGCAGACGAGTGATCCTTGAAAAATGTAATCCAACATATTCTGCAGCAATTAAGGAACGAAATCTTGACGAGTCAGCTAGCTGAAATGGAAGTATTATACATGTACAAAAAAATATCAACGAGGGTACGCGAGTTTTCGAGCTGCCATTAAATCTTTTTTTCTATTTCAATAATTCTAATAAATAAAAGTCTGCACTCAAATGATGCTCGAATATTGAAAAAAAAACCATTCAAATTTCAATAACCGTGCAAGCTTGTTTAAAGGTCTATAAAAGCGTGAATAAAAAATAATAAAAAAGATACACTATCATTAGGTCACTGAACTTTTTCAGAAAAATTGTAAAATCGTTGAATCGAAAGCTTTATTATGAAAGAAAACTCGATGATAGCATGTACTGATTGTTTTATCTGTTAATGCGATTGCGATTGAAATTACGATTATGCCCGTTCGATATTATTATCAAATATCCAATCAATAGTTAATGCAGAAACATCGCTGTCGGGGATGTTATCAAAAGTTGATCGACACGATTTGATGCAATTAAGAGTTGAAATTTCCTCTCCACTCTCGTGCTATCTATCGATAGTTGAATCGTTGCTTCCCAATAACACGGGTACCAATTAGTTCAGAAATACTCGTAACGAATTCAGCGCGTAATTTTGATGCAGTACAAAGGTGGTGTATCGTTATTGTGAGATTTAATGGTATTACGCTTGTACCACATTGATGAGCCGATCTAAATTGCAATCAGTCACGGTCCTCTGTTGTTCGTCGAAGCTCGTTACATTAGCATTGTCCATCTATGGCCGATTATTAGCGGCTAATTCATTCCTACACCACGATATTAAGCGACAAGTGGACAATTGTACTTAGCAAGATGGCTAATTTCGTTCTTGATGAGAAACAGTTTCGCGTAACTGAAACCGTTCAACGCGTTTACCATAGGCAAGCTCGATCGATGATAAAGATAGCAAAGAGAATTTATTCGAGAACTGTTTTTCGCTGACCTGTCGAAAGGATGGGAAATAAAGAGAAAGAACAGTTGGCATGGAATCAATTTATTTCGTAAGAAAGGAACTACGTAGCTTCATTTCTTTTTTTTCAATTTAACATCGTTCTGGTTCGATGTAACCATTTCGCCATGTTGAGCTCATTGGAAATTTAATCTTATTTGAATTATAATATCCACTTCAGTGTAGTCGGCTGTGTAGTTAATTAACCCCCTGATATTTTGTGACCGACTATAGTCATTGGTAACGAAAGGGTTGAACAAAGTATCCATAAATAGATAACGTATCAGAAGCAAACGTATCGAAAGCGCTCGAAAGAATGCTTCTCGCCATGTTATCCCTTTTATACAAAGATACAAAAACAACGACAGCTGTTTAAACGGCGGGCAGAGGTTGGCGAAGATAGGAGAACGGTAGTACAAGTCCGGGAAACGCCATTAGCATAGGGTTGAACCGAAGAATCAGCGGAGTGTTCGTTAAAAAGTACGCTCGGTCACGCGACGATCGCATCAGCTTTCTCGCTAGCAGCGACGTTTGACGCGACGGTGCGGGAAACAGCGGCGTTCCTCGACGGATTTTGCAATTATTTATAACGAGGAAACTTTCGGGACGACCAACGGCAGGGAATCGGTTCGTTAATTGCGCGAGATAATTATCGTTAAACGCTGCGCGTGACGAAGGATGATTCTTCTGTCATCGCGAGACTCGTCTAATTCGCAGCTAGCCGAATTCGCGAACAATAGCAGCGAACAGTAGTCGATGAACTTTTTGCATGTTGCTGCGGTCATGATAACGAAACAGCGAATAAATTTTCAAATGCTTATCAGATTCGAAACATGTAAAGTCGTGATTAAATTTGATGACATTAAAGTACTACGAAATATCACTTACGGCGTGTCAATTGGAAGCTCGAAGTTCGATGAAGACCGTAAAAGATAAATGGTCGAATCAGACGGAATTACCTCAAAAATTTCATGGTGCGTTAAATTCGATCGTACTTGTTGCTACGAGTGAATAGTTCTCGAATCCGAAACGCTTTCGAACGTGCACGCAATTCACGTTCGAGTGTACTTAACCAGAATCACCTCGTACGCCTCGTAACAACCAAATCGAATAGTCGAATGTCAATGTTAGTTAGCCTTCTTCTCGCTCGTGAACAGAGCTTCTGGAGTGGCTCCGAATTAGAGGACAATTTCATTAGTGTTTCAAGAGATAGTGCCAGCTCCACTGTCCAGTGATTTTATTCATTAAACAAAAGTACAGTTTAAAAAATGCTGGATTCCTGTGAATTTACAATACAACTTTTAGTTTTCATGACATTTCACTGTCAGATTTACTATTAAGTGAAGATGCACCTTCAGAGTTCGGACTTCAGACTCATTAGCCTTTATCGCATAGTAAAAAGTTGCAAGTAGCAGCAGCACTTAGTTGAAATGTTTTCGAGTTAACCAGTGGCACTTGAAGGCTTAATTTAATAGTCGGCGGCCTGTTCTTTCGCAAACGAAAGGGCTAGATACTCTTCAGCGGCGATCCAGCGTCGTTGGATCTGCTTACAAAGCAATTTCTCCATCTGGGAAGGTCCAAAGGGAACACCACCTAATCTAATCTCCGTTACGACGACGCCGAGTCCAAATCGAAGTTGGCAGAGCCTCCGGTATCCGGTTTTCTCCCTGTCTAAAGGAGAGGCCGATGGAGAAGCAGGGTAGTAACCAATCTTTATCTTGATTATGCAGCGCCAACGCTGGAGGAGCCAATCTCTAGCCGAACTGCCTGCCAAATAAGGTCGTAAAGAGGCTGAATCTATCGATCACCGTTTCAAACTGCGAATTCGGCTCACCTGATTTGCAATGGAGATCAACTTGAAGCTGGATGGAGGTGGATGCGCGTCACGGAATAAGTAGCCGTAAAGAAAACTCGACTTTGTATCGAGCGAACAGGAAACGAGCTGCTATTGGGTTATACACCGGCACCTGATGCGAATTTTAACGACCTGCTAAAGAACTCGAAGCCGATTCGTTAGACAGAACGATGTTGATTAATTGATTCAATTTAGGCAAAATTAGATATGCAATTTTTTGAGAAAATAGTATTTCAAGGGATAGTATTAGAATAAAATATTTTATTTGTAGCCATTTAAGTGGAGGGGGAGAGGAGGGTTTCGTCGCCCCGGATGCTTTTAGTCCGGGCCGGGGACCGCTAGGTGGCGGCGAGATGATCGGTGATAGTGTTCTCGCAAGTGGTCGCCCGGCATGCAGTTATACATATAAAAGTTCAGGATTGCGGTATGACAGGTGTCTGGGGCAGGGATCGTCTGTTGTCAGCCCCACTGACGAGTTTGTCAGACGATCCTGAGACGAAACGCCTTTTTCTCTCCTCTTCTACATATTCTTTATTACATTTTACATTAACTAAATCTTCCAAGCTTAAGCATATAGGAACACTTAAACTGAATGAGCTTGATGAACTCCGACAAAGTTTTGTGCATTCGAATGGTCGCTTCATCAATCGATTTAACGATACTCAGAGAGATTCTGCGAGCTCCAGAGATTCTTGTTACCTGTGCTAACCTTTGAGATGCATAGATCGAAGCTATGTTGGGAAATTTCCAAAGTCCTAAGATAAGGTCGTCAGCAATGGCGAGACAAATGGTTGAAAAGTTAGCGAAACTAATGGCGATACATATAGCTCGACGAAATCCGTGAAATTATAATTAGCAACTAGAAGAACGAATCTGTGTGACAAATTTCAACCAGAACCTTCTTACACCTCTGAATGTTTTAACTCTCCATCGTACATTTACCAATCGTTCCATTTTCAACACTTGATAGAAATCATTAGCTAATAATTTCCGCCTTTATTATACAAGTGACAAAGGAAAAACTTGGATCGATCTTGCGTCACATTCAACAGTTGAACGATTACTGTTTTTCGTCCAGAACAGTTCGTTACAAGCTCAAGAAAGTGTGAAAGCTGGAGCAGCGTCGACGAAGGTTTGCGGTCGAACGAATGAAAGTGAAACCGGCAGGAAGAATCGGATGCCCCTTGATAGAGTAACCGAACCGTGGATATTTAAGTGTCAATTCTTGACGACGTGGTCGTCAGTCGCATGATCGTGTCGAAGCCGACTCGAGATGCTGCGCGCCGTTTTACCTATCGTTCTCCTCGCATTTCTACTTCAAACATACCAAGCTCGAGAATTAAACGTACCTCGCGTTCGTCGAGACGTTCGAATAGAAGATAACGATGCTTCTCAAACGGTATTGTCCGAAATTTCGAGTGCAAGCACGAAGGTCGGCGATTCGAAGGACGATCTCGTGACCGCTGCGTCGGGGCATCAGGGCCATCGACACGAGTCCGGCGGCGGTCAGAGTCATCACTCGGATCATCACGAGGAGCACGGCGAAGAGGATGAGAAAGGCTACAAGAGTCATCATCATCACGATAAGAACGACAAGGGTGAGCACGACAAGCAGCATCGCGCTGGCCATCACGAGGAACACGGTGGCCATAAAAAGGCACACCACGACGAGCACGAAAAGTATGGCGAGCACCACGAGGGTGAGAAAGGTCATAAGGGTGGCAAGTTCGGGGAGAAGAAGGGTCATAAGAAAGGTCACAAGACCAAGGGCTATCATAATAAATTCCATAAAGATGAGTATCACAAGGAACACAAGTTCTACGATGATTACCACAAAGGGGGACACCACAAGAAACACGGCGACTTCCATGGTCACCATGAGAAGAAGGAGGGACAACACAAGAAGGGTGGTCATCATCATTCCGGTTACCACGAGGACCATCATGGGAAAAAAGGACACCACGACAAGGGTCATGTCGACGAAGAACACAAAGGTCATCATGGGAAGCATGGACACGATGAACATTACAGTCATCACGATTCTTATGGGAAAAAGGGTGACCAACATGCTGGCAAGAAATTTGGATACAGTAAAGGTCACAAGGGTTGAAGAGTGGATTTCTATGGTGTTGTTGCATTTTGAACTTTTCATTTTCTTAGGCTTTCATGCCGTTCATTTTTATTTATTTATTACTGTTGCGTTTGTAAATACAAAAAGAGAGATATAAATGGAATATTTGTATTAAAAGAAAAAATTTGGTTTCGTAGCTTCGTAATTTCTTGGAAGATGGAAGAAAGTCTGTTTATCCACCGACGTGGCTACTTTTGTAACATATTTTACGGAATTATGTTTTTCGCTTATAAAAGCAGAACAGTATTTGTGCTGCTCGCGTTTAATACCTCGAATATTTCACAGCTGTCAGTCTTAAGTTTTTCCAAAGTGACGGTGAAATAATGTATCGCGGGACGATATATCGTGGCCGGTATTGTGTAAATACATTATATAAATACACGGGTCAGGACGTAGTTGCAGGAGCAAAACGAGCAACTATACTGTGTCTCGTGTTCTTTTCTTTCCTTTTTACCCTCAATGCCGAGAATAAGTTTCTCTTCGCCTCATATTCATCCCGTAACGTATCACCATTAATCAAAGTAAGACGCGTCGCTATTCTCTTTCGAATTTTCGATGAAATTTTCATCGTTTATCGTTTCAGCGTGACAAAAGCACCTCTAACGAGCCCCATTAAGTTCCTGGAATTTGGTTACGTAAAAATGATTTTATCTTGCAATTTAATCCTCAATTATAGTAAATTTATAATATCATCGACCCCCTAACAGTCAACTTATTAAGAATAAAGACTCATGGTACAACAGAAGTTTATCGATGCACTTTATAGCCCGATTAATATCGCTGTCGTATAAATTCCTTTCGTGTTCATTGCATTCACCTCATTCTCCTTGATCTACGTTCACATTAATAGCGTCGCTGTTTGCACGAGCGTTTTCCATCGTGTTTCTTTCTGTTTACCTATCCGCCAGTCTGTCTCTGTATAATCCCGCACTCTTCGAAAGCTTTATTTACACCTAGCAGCGCGATGAAAATACATACCTACTAGCATTTGCGCGGCGTCATGCTCGTGAGAAACGTCGACGTATTAACGAGAAGGAAAAATAGAGTGCTCGGTGCAAAAGCAAGCGAGCAATCGCGAGAGGAATGAGAAATTTCGATTTTCCATAATTAATTTCAAATGTTTCCTCGAAAACGAAATCCGTATACTGGATTTTCGTATTCTTGTCGCACATTTTCACCCGAGTTTACATGTTCTCGTTAATTTAAACGATCCCACTGTCCTCGTCTCGCATTCTAAATTCTCGTTGCCTTCTACTCGCGTGCCAGCTTATAAACTCCATTTAATAACCTCGTTCGCGACACGATTTTATTAAAACGAAACCTTGCGAACTATTCGGCGACGACGTTCACGTGATATCTGGCGAATTAATAAGTCAGACGTACCAGAAGGTCTTGCTTTAGCTTACTAATTCAACTCGTCTGGTAAACGTCTGCGGGTTACATCGATCGACGGTCTCCAGGGTAAATCGTGAAATTTTAATCCGTTGATCGTGGAGAATGAGTTAACTATCTGTACCCTGAATTTTTTGCTCGAAAAACCAAGAAACATGTACAGATTTGACGGTACGTGCTTCCAATTATATCTTCCTGTTCGTTAATAACAAAAACATGGTTACATAGGGACAAAGAGATCTCGTCGATCGGTTAATTAAGAATTTAATCAGTTGGTTAATGAACGAGTATCATATACAACAAACAACAATGCAGAGCTTTAATATGCGCACATTATAGGTAACACCTCGTAATTTTGTTACGATGTAAACGTGCCAGTTTTCGTTCAATTATCGGCGAGAACTCAATTATAATTAGCGTACCGTGAATAAAATCGATCGATTTTCGATTAACCGGTAAAAATATTCGATAATGATATTATAATCATTTCAGACACCTTCAGTTAATTAAAAACACTGGAAAATAAATGGAGCTTCGAGTAGTTGAATTTAGATAATTAATTATTCTTTGAATATGTACAACGTGTTATTTCAACTAATAGGGGGTGAATGGGCAAAATATTCGTGGAAACGTTTCACGCATTTCAAAGGTCGATTTAATTTGCGCAACTTTCACGGCGAAAAAGTAACACGGTGATAAATGAGGGCTAACTGAACGACTGAAATCGAGCGGAACTGCGCCGAGATAATCCCGTTCCGGTTTGGACAGAATGTTTCCGTGTTAACTACGCTTTTATAAATTAGACGAGAAAGTTGTTCCCTAGTTGTTACTTCTACGTGAACGAATTGTCGCCAGCTAGGTATCAAATAGAGAAATAAAATTCACTTAACTTTTTCATGCCATTTCCACCATGGTTTTTTTTTTATTTCAACCAGCAACGATTATTTGTCCAGGGAAATTGTTTTATCCAAATTCGAATTAATGTTCACGATTTTCTAAAGAATTTCTATTAAATTATAATTAAATATCTAAAGAGGAGATTCATCAGTGATTTCAACTTGAAAATATTGAAATATCCAGGATTGTAACCTGGAATTAGGCGGTACGAAACTTTTGCGGGCTACTGTATCTTTCACCCTTTACCCCATTTTTTTTCTCACACTAGCAGTATTCTCGCTTAATCACGCGATTCTGTGTGTACATACAATCACGTACGTACACAGAGGAAGAGAAAGAGAAAACACAGAGGTGGTCAGCGACGAGTGAACGAGAACAGTCTAGGTAGCATCTAGCGCATTCACCGTGGCACGGGGTTTGATTAACGATTCCACCCAGTGCGAATGAAATTGCCGTGGCCATTTGTGGGTCTATCTAGACTGGATTCCGGTGCACCGGACACGGATTAACGGAGCTTTATACGCTTCTTTCAGGGCGAAGCCCGGGTTGCTCGGCGAGCCAGCTTGATCGAGCTCGCCCATTCTCGGCCGGAGATTGCATACAACCGAGCGGTTCTACTTGAAATTCTCTGGCGTGTGACAATTCCGTCCTCCCTTCGTCCCTGAAACACACCCTGGCCATTGTTTCATACCGAGATGCGCGCACGTGTGACTGGCTTAATTAATCTAATTGGAGTGGTCGTGCAACTTGGAAAAGAAAAGAAGGAACATCTATGCTGGAGGCGGACATCATACGCGAACACAACGGCCTGTTAAAGGGGCCGGAAGCATCCGTCTCGTTGGTACTTCCGATCGATCGCGCGAGAATACATAGCGATTCGAACAAGTTAATAAGTACTCTCGAACGTCGACGAGAGACACGGAAGAACTACGATAGGAACAGCGTGAAAAATTACCCGTGTCTCAGCCATTGGCGTAACTAGGATTTTTTTTTTTTTTATCGACTCTGGTTTGTTTCGAGAAAATCCGAGGATAGGTACTCGATTTATCGATTTCCACTTTCGTTCGATACGCTTCAGTGTTCGTTAGAGAAACAGTGTTCACTAAGTTTTTCCTTCTTTTTTTCCGGAGAATCGTTGATGGCCAATTAGCAATATGGAAATATAAAATAAATTTATAAGGATGAAAATGTACGTTTCATCGTACGTTTTACAAATGATGCAACGAAATACTGTGAATTAGGTGAAAACATCGAGGATGAACATTGAACAACCACGTCCGACACATCGTATTTCGTCGAGTGCACGATCGTCGAATTACAAGCCTTTCTTTCCACGGTTCGGAATGGTGGTGAGGTTTTTTGCTGGAAAGCCGGAAACAAGAGAAGTGGAGTGGACTTCTTCGTCGAGCAAATTCGATCGGTCTCGATTAAAGACTTTCTTTTCGATTTAACCGACTGCAGCGGGTATACGCGATTGATCAACGGCACATCGGCAATTAATCTCTTTCTTCGAGCTACGAGAAGACGTTGCCGTTACGAAATTGCTACATTTAATTTTAGTGATTCGACATAGCTCGTGTTTTCTTCTTCCTTCTGGACAGCTTGCACCTCATTACATCGTTTTAAATTGAGCCCATCTGCGGTGAGACCATTTCTGCCGAGCACAGTTTTAATAACAGTTTGTCACGAAACTTGTTAAGCGTCGTATTTTTATGACAAATCGAACAAAAGTTTTATAGACCTGAAATCGACGTCGGCATGGAAATGAATGATATTACAGGGGTATATATTTTGTTCATCGATGTGATCGATAGTGGTAGTTGATGGATAAATGGGACGTGAAGATTTATTAATAATCAAAGGAATTTATGAACAGTCAAGTAATAGGATTTGTCATCCTGATATACGTCGAACTCACAGTGTACTAAAAAGTACTCTCGGTAATAATTCACGTTGAATATAATGAGATAAAATCTATGATATCTGGATTTCTTTATCACAAATAAATTTGAACCGTATTACTGTATCTCAAAATTCTTTTCAATTTTCATATTTATTTAGTCTCTTCACTCTTCATAAAGTATGTTATTTTTTGCGATGGTCCTTTATATAATGATTGTTTATAATCCCAATTTAAGCGACTGCAATTATATTTTTAGAAATTCGGTTAAATCCTTTCGTATGCAAATGAACTGCTAATTCCAGCTTCTCGTGGTTTATGTCAGAAGTATCTATTTGCGACCAGAAGTACCACTAGCAAAGCTTCACGTACAGATAACATATTGATCTTCTTTAATTTTCTACTGACCGGTCGCGAATGTGTATCTAAAGTTGGACGATACCATTAATTGGAAAGGTATATATTGATTCACCAGCCGTTACTTCGACTCGCACTGTATTTTTCTTCGTTTCTATTCCTGTGAGTGTAGAATTCGTCATTCCGCTTTAGATAAACGTTTACGTTTCAGCAAAATAATTGGGTCGCTGTTTCATTTTGAATCATTTAAAAGTGGATCTATCTAGGTATCTATGCTAGAATCAATTGGGATAAGAGGGAAGTATGTTCGATCGAGTGAAGAAATGAAATTTAATTGTCAAGGAACAGTTTTATTATTAAAACAGTAGCGCAACAGATTTCAAGGTGGCGTTTAAAATTAATTAACGACGAAATAAAAAACCAACAAGCAGCGCAACAGTGATAAGTAAACTTGGTTACATCAGTTACATCGTTACTGTTACATTCTTCAATGATGATGATGATGGCCACCACCGCCACCATGGCCTCCACCGCCGCCACCACCGCTCGAATAACCATGCTTCTTTCCTTCATGATGTTCACCCTTTTTACCATAATCTTCATAGTGCGAATGATGCTCGTCGTGTCCATGTTTACCATGATAACCCTTGTGATCGTCGTCGTAATGTCCTTTATCAGAGTGACCCTTCTTTCCATGATGGTCCTCGTGATGACCAGAATGATGATGGCCACCCTTCTTGTGATGCCCATCCTTGCTCTCGTGGTGTCCATGGTGATTGCCATGTTTCTCGTGATGTCCACCTTTGTGGTAGTCGTCGTAGAACTTGTGTTCCTTGTGGTATTCATCCTTATGAGCTTTGTGATGATAACCATGGGTCTTCTCGCCTTTTTTGTGTCCCTTCTTGTGTCCATGCTTCTCGCCCTTATGGCCTTTCTCGTGTTCATGGTGGTGACCATGTTCCTCGTGCTCGTCATGGTGGCCCTTCTTGTGTCCACCGTGTTCTTCGTGATGTCCTTCGTCGTGTTCCTTTCCATAATGGCCGTGGTCGCCTTTGTCGTGATGGTGATGGTGTTTGTAACCCTTCTCACCCTTTTCCCCATGATCGTCCTCGTGGTGACTATGGTGATGATGACCGCCGCCCTCCTCGTGATGATGCCCGTGATGATGACTAGCCGCCATCTCTAGGTCCATTTCGTTCCTTATCTCCCTAGCGGTGGTCAGGGAGAGCCACGCGCAAACCATGGCTAGAGCAAGCCAGAGGCACAAGCTTTTCGCCATGTTGGTACTTTGTAGACCAACGAGTGCTATCGACTGATCATGTCGCTTTAAAGCAAAGCTTATATACCTGCCGTCATAGCTCGCGTTTTATACGTAATCGCTTTCGTTCCCTTCGCAGCTGCTCGCTGGTACTACACGGGATTCTTATTTCGTAAACGTCACCAGCCCGTGGCTCATATCGTCGCGCCAATACTGTTTTGCATAAAGTAGAAATTAGGCACGTTAAACGGTCATCAGTGGAATAGAATCCGCTACAAAGGTGGCCGTATCATGAACAGCTGCGTGCAAAAGGATTAATTGCGATACGAATTAGCATGGCTGATAAGAAACAAAGCGAAATGTCCACAGACGTATCGACGCAAGAACTTCATCAATTATGTGTCTTTCTCATAATTAAATAACGAACATTACAAAATAGTAGCATTGCGATTAGAAAATATTTCTTTACGAAATGATGCAATGGTTTATTCATTTCTTTTGCTCGTGATTGTACCCTAATGATCAGTATTTTTCTCGTGAATTTCTGTTACAGTTGATAAGATTCAGGATGTTTTGAACGCATTCAGGTGAAATTAGTCGTGATTTTATGTGGTGCGATTGCATTACTGGAAGTGCTGATCAACCGTGTCGAGAAATTCCATAAAAGGTGCACCACAGTCTGATCTGTTTTGTGGTCGACGAAAGTACATTCATGTCAATAAATGTAACTGTACTTATTTTCTCTGATAATCATCTGACGACAGATGCTTATCATCCATAAAAATCTGTTACGTTCGAATACATGACATTTCTGGTATCGCTTCCAGAAGGAGAAAATATAAACATGCCAATTATCATTAAACAAATATATCATTAAACATCGATAACGAAATGCAGTAGGATAATTCTTAGATCCTGTTTGAAATCGATAAAAATCGAAATGGAATTGTCGTTACGGTGCACGATGACACGGGGAAAGCGGAAGCAGAGAAAAGTGCCGTTTCGGAATAGAACCGTTGGATAGTTTCGGCAACCGTAGACGCCGATATCTATCGGCGTTGCATAACGATTTCGATCGACGGCGTTGGATCGACTGAAATCGACAAATTGCAAGCTAAAGGGGTTAAGGAGACGTTACTTTCGCAACGGTGTAAGGAGCCAGGACCGAGTCGTTGCTTCCTAATATCGATTTATACCCCGTTCGAATATATAACCCGGGCCTGGTGATCGGATTAATCATACCGAAAGCAGCGACGGAGTCGAACGTTTCGATACCGCTGATCAATTCCCATCGATCGCCCCACCATGAAGTTTCGATTGCCGATTTGTCTGCTGCTCGTGTGCTTAGCCTGTCAGTGCTTGATCGACGCCCGCGAGATCCGCGAGGATTACGATGATCTAGCCGTCGCGGCCTCCCATCATCACGAACATCACGAGCACGGCGGCGGTGACGAACACCACTCGGATCATCATCACAAGCACGGTGATCACGGCGATAAAGGCTACAAATCCTCTCACCATCACGAGAAAGGTGACAAGGGACACCACGACAAGGACGAGCACAAGGGACACTACGACGAAGAGGAAGGACACAAGAAGAGTCATCATCACGAAGATGGTTATTATGACGAGCACCACAAAGGTGAGAAAGGAGAGAAGGGGCATAAATTCCACGAGGAAGGACATTATGGTAAAGGGCACAAAACCAAGGGACACCATGAGGTCCATAAGTTAGACGAGTTCAAGAAGGATAAAGAATTCTTCGACGAACACCATGATTCCGGACATCACGAAGATCACGGTGGCCATCATCACGAGCACGAGCACGAGAAGGGCGGACACTTCAAGAAGGGACATCACGACCATGGAGAACACGATGATCATTACGGTAAAAAGGGACACCATGAGAAAGGACATCACCATCACGATCACAAGGGTCACAAGAGCGACGATGGCCACGACGAGCATCATCATCATCATTCTCACCACGGCAAGAAAGGAGGACACGATGATCACAAGTCGTGGGGCTTTAAGAAGGGTCATTAAGGGCCAATCTCATTGATTGTTATGTTTGTTGAGCATCGTGTTTGTGTTGGTCTTTGTATCTGAACGAAATAAATGTATTCTCAGATCGATTTAACTTGGTCGGAATAAAAGTTTCTATCTTTTACAATTTCGTTGTTGTTTAAATAGGATTAGGAATTGATCGTCACTTGTTAGGTGATTCGGTTTAATTGCAGTCCGATACTTTTTGCTTCTCCCAGAAAACTTGAACAAAAATTCTAACGAGCGTTTCAAAGATTTCACAGGCTGTTCAATGCAAAAAGAAAAAAAAAAATTGAAACACGACTGTTACAAAACCTTCATCGGCAACGCCTCAGTGGTGTTTGACGAATCAATAACTTTTCAATCGATAACGATTTTTGCAATAGTTCAATGACCTCACGTTTTCTACACTGAACGAGCCATTGCACATTTATCTCCGCAAAAAAACTGGGTCAATAACACTTTCTATATTAGTTACCTAATTTGATGGAGTAATAATATGTCCACTGCAATGGCTGAAATTTCTGCATCAGGTATCAACAAAAATGATATCAAGGAAAATTGAAGAAATAATAAACTCATTGAATTGTTTTATTACATACAAATGAAACGATAACAAATAGAGTTATGAAGTTGTATCAATGCTCGGACTTGTGTGTTTTGGCGAATTTAGAATCTTCTTCAGAATCATGATGCTCATGATCATCAAAGAACGATTTCTCGCCTTCTTCAGCTTGATGACCCTGATTCTGATTATCGCGATGTCCCTTCTGGTACCACCCTTTCTTTCCACGATCCTCGTGATCCTGTTCTGAGGAATTGTGTCCACCTTTCTTAGAACCACCCTCGGCTGTCTTGTAACCCTTGTCGAATTCCTCGTGCTTGTCGAAATGTCCTTCTTTATGATTCTCGTCGTAGAAATCAGTCTCATTCTTGTACTCGTCTTTGTGGTACACGTTGTGGTAGCCACTTGTCTTGTGACCTTTTTTATGCGACGACGACTGTCCATAATCGTTGCTCTTCTTACTTTCCTCTGCTTCCTCGTGAGAACCGTGTTCTTCAGCTTTATCTAGATGTTTCTTTTTGTGTCCACCTTTGATATCGTAATATCCTATAGATTCACAATCAATCATTACACACTATGACAATGAAAAATTATGATCCCAATACAAAGTCACCAATTTTATCGTTCAACATTATTAACTTACCTTTCTGGTGTTCTTCATCATCTATACCTTGTTCACCTTTGCTATGCTTCTCACTTTTCTTATACCCAGACTCTCCCTTTTCTCCGTGCTCGGCGTGTTCCTCCTCTTTGTGCTTTTCTCCATGCTCAGAGTGTTTTTTAGCTTCTCCCTCGGCATCTGCAGGTTCAAAAGAAGATCCATCGACAGAGCCACGACCACTATAATTGAACTTTATCACACCACCGTTAGAATCACCATGAACGTCTTCATCATCATCCTCCTCGCTGTCATCTAGCTCCTTCTTCTCGTCGTCGTGATCCTCTTCAACGTCCTCGTCGTAAGTATCTTTCTTTTCCTCTCTTTCGTGTGTAACCTTCTCAGAAACGTAATACGGTGCACGTGGTTGCGAGGCCGCGTGTTTCAACGATTGCTGGTTGCCGTAATTGGCAGCTTCTTCGTGCTTCTGGTGGATAGTGCGCGGAACATCGTGGACGGTCGCGTAGGGTTGCTGATGCAGCGTCGTTTTAGGAATGGCTGATGCAACAGGTGCAGCGGACTCGAGAACGTAGTGCACGGTGTCCGGTGTATGGTAGTACCGTCCACTTCCTTGATTGGTGTACTGCACGTAGTAAACCGGAACTCCCTGTTGCTGATTGTACGTGTACCCAGTCGCCGAACCGTCCAGATCGGTGAATCTCGTCTTGGTCATCGTGGTACGCTGGATTCTCGTCGGCACAGCATCGTTCCGAACAACCAGAGATATGTAACATATTAAAAACGTTCTCGATAGCATGCTTGTAACAACTGATTCGATCTACGAGATTGTTGCTCTGTTATTTCACGTCCAACTGGAACGTACACTGGTGTGTCCATGAAACGGCGTATTGCCTTATATACACACGAGAACGTGATTCGATGGGTGAATAAGGGATCGCAGAGTGGAACCGAGTATTCCATGGTCGAGCTCGATAATTCAAGTACGTCGTGTTATTGACGGCTGGCCAGTCTGCTTGTTCTACGGAATCGTCGCGATTTGCGTAATACCAAGGGAACGCTTCCAGCGCTGATATAATAGAAACGCAAGCTTTGAGAATCCCTAGACAGATATATCAATTTCTGGAAAAAAACGGCTCCTTCGTGGCTTTGATGGATGTTTCGTAAAATCTATGATTCCTGTCATTTCTTGCTCGTTGTTATATTGAATGAAATTTTATTTAAACAAATAATTTGCAAAATGATTATTCTTTAAATTACATTTGATGTCTAAAAGAGTATACGGAGTTGAGATCGTATTTCGATCGTTCCAATTCAACCACGTCGATGCGACGAGAAATACTTTCCCAGAAAACCGCGGTTTGCTCGAAACCTCCACATCCTGTCGGACACATTCTTTCAACAGCACTGGGCGAGAGGCGATCGAATTGAATCGTTGGGCGGACCGCGTGACGTATAAAAGAGCAGGACTGATTGCAGCACGATTACAGTGCAAGAGAACCAACAAAGCGGCGTGCTTTGGAACCAGTCGTATACCCGGCATGCATCCAAGTTCCATTTAATTCGTGAATACTCCGTCGACGGAATGAACGTCTTAGGGATAGGGTGGTACACCCTTTACGCGTTCATCTGCGTTTGCGTGCAATTAATCAATGCACGAGGTATCAGCGTGTACGTAATCAATCCGAGAATCCACGATTTAAGAGCGATCGAGATGGAACCTATTTACGGACAGATAGCCAAGTATCCTCCTCATTTTATGGGTAAGAAACTGATTCCGATAAAGGAGCCCCGGCCGAGCAGGAATCTCGCTCTGCCTCTGGAACCGGATGCCGAGATGCTACCAGCTCACTACGAAAGAGTGAAACCTCCTGGAGTCGACCATATGGAATTAAAATACGCTGAAACACAGATTGTAAAAGACATTCCAAAGATTCAACCTTCGAAAGCGCCTGCTCAGACTAGACGCGCTCAACAATCATCCGAAAAGCAAAGATCAGAGGCTAAGAATGATAAAAACGAATCTCAGAAGACGGTTTCTGTTGAGATCAAAGAAACAGGCGATGATCTGACGGAGAAGAAGAAAGTCGAGTATGTCGATGCTGCAGGAAGGAAGAAGGTTCATGATGATCATGATCGCGTTTCGAAACATCATACAGAGAAGAGTAAGAGCGCAGACGATGTTTCTCATGCAGCAAAGAGTAACGATAAAGTGGACCGCGTGGCGACTGGTTATCGCAATATTTATCATAAGGACGAGTACAAAAAGAATCACGATTTCTATGATAACGATGACCATGGTGGGCATTCGAAGCAACACGGACGATACAACGAAAGACACGTCTCCACCGAGGGTACGTTTAAGAAGGGTGACTCTCATAGTGGTAGCTTCGACCAGGGCGAACTTCAGAAAGAGAAAGGGGCAAAGAACTCCGGGGCGAACGGAAAAACCAAAGGTCACGATGGATTTGTTTAAAACTTTCAGGGGTTCGCCAGGCAGAAACAAGGGTGAAAGATTTCGCTTGGTCGAAACGAAATAGCGTTAGCTTTCTGTTATAATAAAACACGAAGCAAAGCGACGAGGGGTTTGTTTGTTAATGTAATAATCTTGTAATTGCTGTTCGTTAATTTCTCATTCGTTCATTTAATCCATTGCTCGTATGTTGACGAGAGTGCTTGATACAATTGCAATGTATACGTATAATATGATCGAGAATAATTGCATGCCCCATGGTAGATTGTTAACGTAATTTGTATAGTGACTCATTAACCGGACACACTGATGGTCAAAATAATTCGAGAATCATCTGTGGAAATGACTTCATCAATTACTCCAATTCGACGGAAATAATTATCATGCGAAATTATTTTTGATAAGACCCCTTTTATCGTTCGATGGAAACGGTGTCTCTTGTTAATTCTATTATCACTATTCAGTGGGTGTCGATACTTTAACAATACAATTTGATATCAATACCAGTAATCTATATAAATGACACCGACGTTGGTGATGGAATAAATCTAATACAGACTTAATAATATTAATAAATCTCGTTTATTTAACCTTTGAACAACGTTGGCGCATCAATCGTGGCTCAAAACTACGAAACGGTGCTTTGACTAAAATTAGGCGTTTTAAAAATTTATAAAATGAAAAAGGTTAAATCGTTATCTCACTCCTTTATTCCTTCGACCCACATACGCGCACAAATATGAGCGTATAATTTGTACAGTACGTTTATCGTAGGTATACACTTGTCTCTATGATACTTAAGTGTACAGACGTTTGTGGAGCGTGTAAAATCGTATGGATGTACTCTCACACCTTTGCTTCTCATTGTATTTACCTGTCGGGCACAGGTCAGCCGACAAAGATGGCGTGGGTGGTGAACTCGGGCGCGTGTGGGTGCCCGTATATCGGCGACGGTGAAACGCGCCGCGAGTAATACATAAATCAGCTAGTCTGCTGGCTGCCATATCATTTCGTACAATGAATGAATAGAACCGTGTTTGAATTATCGTTCTCTACCTTGCTCTTTCAGAATCTAGTTCAACCGGTGCCCCCATCGAGAATTGAAATGTTAATTTTTCAATGAAAATAGATCTTTACTTGTACAATACCAGCGAAAGAAACATGTACACAGGAACACCGCAATTATTTATGTAATTAACAAGGTCGGTTTAATTAAAATCGAAATACGATAAACACATCAGGGTGATTAACGGTGTGTTGAAAAATAATTTATGCTTTCGACCATCCCTGGTCCCATTTTGTGGATAATTTGCGTTTAATATTTGTTTCGCGACGATTAAACGAGTTATCGAATTAATTTGCGGTAAATATTCTGTTACGATATTAATGCAATTTCGCGCTGGATGGCCGATTATTGTTAACGCCCTCGGTTTATCTCCCATCGATATCGACGATTTGGGTTAATTTTTTTCGTTGACGTTTGAAACGACCAGCGAATAGATGAATTAAGAAACGAGAACTTTCGATACGAGTCAAGTTCTACTCATACGTCTGCGTTTCTACATCGTTAGCCAACTTTGTCGAATGTAATCTTTAGTAGGTGAAACGTCGAGTGGAGAATGTTGTTTTATGAAAAACGAATAAGAGATGAAACGAAATGGCAACGTACCTGTTGAAGTCATTCGGGAATTCTGTTGCCAAATGCCTCAAGCGAGCCTCGAATTGCAACGGATTCGGAAATATCAGAGCTAATTTTCATTCCACGCCGAGGAATTTGCAAACAATTTGTTCCGTAAGTGAAATTCCGATGCGTTCCCTCCAGTTATTATACAAATCGTAGTTTCTAACCTGTTTGCGTAGCGTTTGACACTTGTCAACGCATCGCGATCGTTTCCAAATGTGCATGAAAATATTGAATTTTAATACATCGATCTCATACTATTTGACGTTTTGAATATTGAGTTCAGGTTACCAACGTCTACTTCATCATGGATTTATCTGGCAATTTAATTTCAATTTTTAGCAGTGATTTGAATTTTGTACGTTTCAAAATTTCAATCAAAATCATCGTCCACCCTCTAATTGTAATTTTTTTATTTTTCAGGATCGTCCTGCTTACATCACGCGATTGGCTCTGCCGCCCGACTACGACAACGTGGTGGACTTCATGTGCGACGTGTACTATAAAGACGAACCAACAATCGTGAACATGGGTCTGGCCGGCACAGAGGCTCCTCTGGTCTGGAGGAAAATGATGGACGATCTAGTGAGGTGCGGATTGTCGTTCATCGCGGAGAATCATGAACATTGCATAATCGGCGCTGCACTGAACTCTCCGACGACCCCGCAAGAGATACAAATGTTGTGCAATTTAGCGAAATGCTGCCAAACCGAGCCCATTAGTAAAGTAATCGAGTTCTATGCATACGTGCTGGATTCAGCGAGGGTCTGGGAACGTTTCTGTGTCCACACCATCTTCGAGCAGTCCAGTTTGGCTATAAGCGAGGAGTATCGCGGTTTAGGGATCGCCCAGAGGCTTATACACGAAAGTTGGATCCTGGCGCGTGATTGCGGTTATCGGTTGTTTCGAATGGACTGTAACAACAGGTGAGCTGAAATACTCGATCTTCTAATAATACTTTTCTAAGACCCCAAATTTTTCACAAGTGCAAAGATGCAGCCAAGAAATGCAACTACTTTTTTTATTACATACTTTGTGACTTTCATCGTCTTATAGGAAAAAGATTCTTTTATTTCGATTCCTTTTCGAACGGAGTAACTTGTCCGCTTCTCCAACAATCCTTTTAGAGAGAAATAACCGTCGTATTTCCAGCAGTGAAACGGAAAGTTTTATTTCTTCCTCGTGTCCTATGGTTCGCTCGATTTAAAGAACTTCTCTCTGATGCACAGTTACTGCGCGAGAATATGCCGTGGTTTCGGATGGGAGGAAGTTTGGAGGATACCATTCAGCCAGTATGTGAACAACGGTGAGGTAGTCTTCAAGTGCGTCAAGGAACCGCACACCGATTGTCAAGTGTTCGTTGATCGCTTGAGATATTGCAAAACCTTCCTTCTCCCTTATAAGAAGTGTAAACGAGTCACGCCACCTCCGGCTTGACAGAACGTAGAATCTAGCTACGTATAGAATGGTATTAGGTATGGTTAATAAACATTATAATTTCATTGCAACAATGCAACAGCTCGCAGCTAAAATCAACATCGAATATTGAAACTATTACTGCTTTTGTTTCCCGTGAATCAACTTGCAGCATTGACATTGTTAGAGCCCGAAGCATTGTTTGAATTTCACGTTATCTCCAACATTTGCGAAATTTTGAAATTCCTATTGCTGAATTGCTATTTCAGATCGATTTAGTCTCAGCATCGTCAACAATTGAAAATTAATGACAAAACATGCGCGTGTGCAAGGTTATTGATCGAGATATTGAATTATCGTTCGTATGCTATAGAATTGAAATTTCTGTGAAATATGCAAAACGTGAAAATTAGGATCGTACTTTTTATATTAGACGCAACCTTGTTGGTTACTCGATCGATTGCATCACGTTTCGCATAATTTAGCGCCAATCTCCGCATTAGACATAACGGTCTCGCCGTTATTGCTACAATACCTCCCTTTTTGTCAGCTGTCAGGAAAGTTGCGAGACAGAGAATTGGAAATCACTTTTAAACAGACCGAAACCGACGAAGAATTTCGCGGGTTCATCGACCGTTCGATCTGTCGAGGCCCGCGAAAGTTCGCCAATCGAAAGGAAATAAAACGCGGTAACGTTCAAATGAAATTCGCCATATTTGAGTTGTAAGCCGGTCCCGACTTTTCAGCTAGAACTTCCGCTTTCCTGGACCGTAGAATTACAAATGTCGATGGAGTTTCGAACCTGAAACGAATTCCGTTACCAAGTTCCGCCGGCGAAACGGAAGTTTGACGATCGCGAAACGTCAATTAAACGTGGCAGGGTAACATGTTCTAACATCTATGCTCCGTATCATAAAACAGGGTTTGTATCATAAAAGAATTATGTAACAAATTAAAATCTTTAGAATAAATTAAATTTCGAAAGGAAATTAGTAATTACAATTAAACTTTTTGAACTTAATGATAATATAAGAATAAGGATTAAAAAAAAAAAGAAATTACAATTTTTACGTCTTTGTCGTTGTGAAACATATTTGTTTGTGTTCACAAAGCTATAAGTAATAAAATATCTCGTAACAATACGCCGTGCGCTTTTATCTCATTAAGTATTAACGTCGTTGTTAGCTTCCGGGCAAACGTTAAGCCAATAGGTAACCAGCGGACTTAATTCCTCGAGCGTTTTAAATGTACGTTCCGCACAAAGTCTCTTTTACCTTTGACAAAACGAACAAGCCCGCAGAATCAAACGAGACGTTCCACAAAGGTACGAAATAACGGCAATTACAAAGTGCGGCTTTTATTGGCGCAATTAAACGACGAACGCATACATAAATCTTTATTTAACGGGTTTTAAACGTGTCCAAAGGAACGGTGCAAAAATTCTGGTTGTCCGAGCCGGACCACCGTGGAAATTACTTTAAATAGTCGGCGTAAATTAGCTTTAATCAGAAGAGGTGTCATTCTTTCGGATTAAACAGGACCCCTTTTATAGCTCTATAAAACGGACCGGTGTGACGAGGAAATTAACGCCCGACTCGCTTCAGGTGGACATAAAACCTTGCTCGTTTCTTTTTTCCCTGATTTTTCTGTCACTATGAAACGTTTCCGTTTCGTTCGAGCCGAATGTGCACTGAAAAGTATATTTGTTCATTCATACTTTTTTACCTTCGTGAAATACGTGTTTAGTTTTTGCAATCTCGAGATACGAATACCGTGATCGTTAAATTTTATCAAAATTATCATGAACGTTTTCCGCCGAACGCATCGATGCTCCATCATTCGATCGGACGATTTATTTAGCACAGCGATGCTAGGAGCTGTTCGAATACACCTGATCATAGTTCCAATCCTACGGATTACATGAAATAGTCGATGGTAAGGAGTCGGAGAACGAAGTGCATCAACGAACGGGACGGAGCCGTTCTAAATGCTAACGAGACCCTCGAAGAAGCTCTCCTCCTCCGGAGGCTACGATCCGCGACCGACGAATCTTCATTCTTAGTCGATACACGCGTACTTGCCACGTAAGCGCATGCATTAAATGCGTTTCCAGTGTACGTCGAATCAAAATCAAATCGAGTTTGGAACGTGGTCGGATGGTTGCGGAACCGAGGAGACAGCTAGAATCTAGCCCGACCAAGAGGCGACGTCGGTCCCCTTAACTCACCCCGAAGTTTCTCAACTGTAATTCCGACTCGATAGTTGCCACGGTATTACGGAACTACGCACACCACCCTAACTCCATTAATCATTACGGCTCCGAGATCGGCAGTGGATCGTTTTTGAGAGAAGGACCGAACGAACAGTCGCTACGGCTCGAATCCTAATCCATCTTGGATGGTATACTTACGAGCGACGTCGATCTTCCTGCTACCTAGAAATCGAGCTCGACTCTTCCAGTTACGACCACGTCGACGGTGATCCCCCTTTCCGGTCGATTTTAGAGACAGGAACGATCCGTTTGATTGCGCTCGACCCTACTTTTTTCCTGGCATTTAAAAGTCCATCGCGAGAATTGAACTCTAACCCGCGAACAATAAGCGATTTAGAGTTCCGTTAGAAAGGAAAATTAAATCTCAGGTCTCTTCTAATTCTCGACGAGGAAACTTCGGTGAATGGTAGACGAATCCTCAGCAGAAACGATGTCACCCCCGAAAGGGATCCTTGAACACCGAATGGCGCTTGACGTTTGTCGTGGGTTCCGTGCACTTGGACACGCCGAGCTTAATCTGCATAATTCTAACTACCGGTGTAGCGGATCCTCGTGTATTCCGTGGAACACGCGCGTCTAACGCCCGCAATTCCACTAATATCGGGAATTGTTCGTCGAATTGAAATAGTTCGAGCCGGGACTCGGTTGCTCCTCGAACTAGCCTCCAGACCATGCGTGCAACCATCGTCGTGGTAAGTTCATTTCACTAAAGCTCCTTGCTAAATTGTATCGCGCTGCAAACGTCGCAGTCTTCGTAACACCCTTCAAAACCGAACGTAATTCGCACACCTTGATATGCTTCGTTATTAAACTTGGAGCTGTCTTATCGAAGTTGCCGGTCCTTTGATACACAGGATCTCGTTTGACGAGGATAGATGTGAGAAACTAATTAGCAAAATTTGTAACTCGAGATTTCACGTTAAGAGGATTTAGATGTATCTTCAATTGATTCTGAAGAGAAATTACAATGGTGTACCACGTCTGGGAAGACGATTTCTGTGTACGGGAAACAAGAGGATCGGTATGAAACCTGGCATTCCTTTCTGTTAGCGAATCCCTTCCGGTTTCATTCTCGTTAGAGTGTATACACCGTGTCGCCAGGTGTGGCAGACAACACTGATCGACGAAAGAATTGGATTTTGCTGTCTCGTGCTACCATTTCCCACTTTTATCCTCCTTCTACTTCTTATATTCAACAGACCGTTTTCTTCCTCTTGCCACGCCGTTTTTCTTTTGCAATGGCGCATTCGAGACCGAACATAAAACACGACGCTGCTTCTCATCCGGCGCTTTAACTATTTACTCGTTCCGAGCAGCTCGAGCGAGCATCGCGTACCATTGTTCCAGGATCGTTAATAATTCTTCGGTAAATTATCGTGCATTCATTGAAACGAAGTTTCGTGTCTCTCAATTTCAGCTAAAATTCGATAAACTACTTCATCGTTTATTATATACATATCTCATAAATTTCCTTGTTTCTTTTGAAAAATCAGGCAAATTATTACTCGCTTGTCGTTCGCTAATTATTGTTCGTCTCTCGAGTTCTCAGTAATGTATCTAGAAGGTAATTTAGTCTACGCTCGTTTAGGGTTAATCATTAACGAATATCTCGCGATAAGAGTGTAATTCGCTGGTATCCACGTAGCTAGATCGCTCTTGTCAATTGGACTGCGATCCGTGGTGCAGACATTTCAAGAGATTCGGTTAACTGGGAAAATCATATCGTTGTCACACCAGCCAATGTGTTTCAGTTTCGTGTTGGTAATTAGGCTTCCCTCGCTGGCAACGTGCACGTCCATTTGGCAGATGAACCTAACTCACCGAGTATGGATCCATTAACGCGTATATTCGCGCCAAGGAACGTGCACACCGGACAGTATATAGGGTGTAGTGCAATTAGTGGTGTAACTTGGGACGAGGAAATTCTGAATGACTAACCGAGTAAAAAGTGTGAAATAATATGTCTTTCTACATACCTTTATTAACAATAAACACGTACACTTATGTATTTAAAAAAAAATCATCACGAAGGTTTGTAAATTTATATACACCTTTGAAAAATATCTTATCATCGAATATGTCAGTGTTAGAAACTTAAAATGTATTGCCCTGATAAAATAATGAGACAGTGTTTTTAATTAACCATTTATTGCATGCTGTGTTCTAATAGTAACTGTGTCTCTCGTGTCCTACCTCTCCTTCCAACCGTTCGCTTACAGTCGTACCAATCTACAATAGTCAGAAATGTTGTTAAATGTAATTGACATGCAACCTCTATGAATGTTGCTTCGCGCATAAACTATTTCGAAACACCCTATATATTCTCGACGCATCCCCTGATGTAGAACCACTACCTGTCCGTCTATATCACTAATTATGTGACACCCTGTGTGTATACAACAGCTAACATCACCGTGAATGCATACGTGCATCCACCAGGGAAGGGCATGAACGCATACAACAAAACGAAGCCACCGATCTACCGTATTCTACAAACATCGCGGTAACAATGAGGAGAACCCTTTGCCTGAGCGTGGAACGCATATCTGGCTCCGTTTATGGAATGCGTGTGTTGCCGGTGCAATTGTGACGTGGACATATCTGCGGATCCAGTGAGATTATGCTACCCCAGCTTGCGTTACAACGCTATGCAACGTATGTTGCATACTGCCATTCCCCTCGTAAATCGCCTTGTTTATAGACGTGTTTGCTACCGGCTCGAGATTTCCTCTGACGTTCTTAACCTCTGGCTAGCTGACTAACCGTCTACATATTCAGTTGGCCTCTGAAACGCTTCGTCATAGATGTATTATAATTAAACGTAGGCAGAATTTTTGCCTACCGTATCTTTCGCTTCGAATAGGGAGAAGGAAAATTTATTAATGCACCGATAAACCAAGGCGCACGGTCTCTCTTTTTTTATTTATCCCGTGTATGAACATGTTGAAATGAAAATACTGAAACGTCTACCCTCGTTCCTGCTAAAATATAAAAGAATAGAAACATGAACGATTCAGGAGCGATACGGTTAGTCGAATAAGTAAACACGAAAATTGCTGTGCAGTTTGAAGGGAGCGATCGCGTCGTTACAGGGATCGCACGTGTGGAATGTTGAAAAGGCAAGCTTACGTGCAGGGCTGCCGCTTTTCTTTATAGCGTCGCATACGTAACGCGACATCCTTTCTCATCCCGTTAACCCAGAAACACCCTTGTCGCTCGTTTACCTACACCACGGATCCCTATGTTTTTACTTGTCGCGCGTTTGATTTGAAACGTAGTTTATGACACTGGAGTGATGGCGAAGAAGGGAAACCGGAATGGAACGAGGCGCGTTACCATTCAGCCGCATGGTTCTGGGCGCGTATAAAAATACAAACAGGAATGAAGATGGAATGATCTTAAAAGCAAACTGAGAATCCATGTTCGTTTTATTGCGTTTCCATAGTGCAAGAGAAATAGAGAAGGTTTCGTTCAGATTTTCCTAGATTTTTCAGCAAGGATAATAAATTGCAATTAAAACGCTTTACATTATTCTAAATTATCGGGGACGAACGATTCAAGCTTTTCTTAGAATTTCCGAGTCCCGACACCGAGTCCTCTGCCCGTAAACTTCGTTTACATAAAATTCCCATTTGAAGCTTCATCGTCACTTACACGGTACGTTAAATCCCGGCACGATTTACTCCCTCGCGAGGAAAAATCTGGATCCCTTTCTTA